AGGGTTTAGGGTTTAGGGGAAATGCAAACCGTTACTGTAGCGATTCTGTGGTAGTCAACCTGTCCCCAGGATTACTTAGGGTTCAGGTTTTTGGGTTTAGGGCTCCGGATTTGGGATCCACATAGACCAACGTAGGTACTAATTAGAGATGGTAGGGCCCAAAGTAGGTATCATGCACATACCCCTAAACCCCAAACCGGATCCACAGGGTATGGTTGATACTTTGCAGTGCAGGGAAAAGGGAAAGGAAGGGAAACTGGTGTGCTGTGAAGGACCTTAAAGTAAGCCACTATAATCAGCAAGCCCTCGTATCACATACCCATATGATGGTAACCTAAACCCTAGACCCTAAACCCTATATACCCAAAAAAATGGTTAGTTCAAATTCCTTGACAGCCGAAGGGAGGGAACGGGATGGGAAAGTGGGCAAAGCGAGGCTGACAGACATTGAAACCTCAATGCAGCTATCTCGAGCCTGACCAGTTTAGGGTTTGGGGTTTGAGGGTTTGGAGTTTTAAGGTTTGGGGTTTTAGGGTTTGGGGTTTAGAGTTTGGGGTTTGGTAGACGGTTGAGATTTGCGGGTTCAGGGTTTGGGGTCATAGGGCTTGGGGTTCAGGGGCAGGGCACCTGGGCTAAGTGAACCGCAAGGGTAGGGGAATGGAGCGCGGCATGCAAGGCGAAAGCTTCGCAGGGGCACCGTCGTCACCCCAGACCCTAAACCCAAAACCGGCCTTGGCGAACCTTTCCTTTCGTGTTAGGAGAAAGGCAAGGGTCGCAGATCTATTTTCCCAAATAACATGAGAAACTTCATTTAGCCCTTCAACGGTCATGGTCTTTACAGGGTGTTGTTTTTGCAGGCGACGATAATTCGGAAAGCAAAAGGGGCGGAATTGCGGCGTGTGCGAAGTAGGCCCCCCCAACTGCATCACTGGATTTCAAGGGTTGGCCAACAGACGCTCTGCGCAAGTACTCAGCACATGCTATTTGAACGCTTGGACCCTCAATGCCCTAAACCCCTAAACAGGTAAGCGTTAATGTCTTGGTAATTTCTCGGCATCTCCAGTGGGCCCCGTCGCAGAGGTCTGGGTTGAGAGTCGAAAGTGTACAGGGTTGAGGGTTCATAGAGTTTGGGGTTTATGGGAGTCAGAGTCATAGGCTTGACAATGTTTACAGGGCTTTAGGCTTTGGAGTCTGGGTGTTATGGGCATTTCCCCTCCCTCTTCCTTGTGTGAGGCGATGCAGAAGGCTGAGAATGAGCCTGAAGCTGAGACTTTACAAAGCCTTGCTTTACTGGTAGCAACAAATGCTCAAAAGCGCATAGTTTACTTGATGCATCCAGGAGTTCGTGCACTGGGGATCTTTGGGCACTAGCATGAGGAAACAGCCATGCAGCGCAAAAGAGTCTGACCCTTGCCCAGTTTGGCTGTGCTGCGTGACGAGCTCATGATGAAGATCCAAGAGAATGAGGCGCAAACCTTAAGCCCTAAATCCTAAACCCTAAATCCTAAACCCTAAACCCTAAGCCCTAAATCCTAAACCCTAAACCCAACTGGCAGACGGATTACTAGGTCCATGCTAGGGATCTTTCAGCTCTGGTTAGTGACTCTCAGTGTCATCATTTGCTGGCTCCTTCAGATGAGCTGTAGTCTAAGTGGGTTTAGGGTTTAGGGTTTAGGGTTCCTCAAAGGGGGTTATATAGGGGATTATATCGGGGACTACTGTAGCGGTTATTAAGGAGGATACTAGGAGTTTAGACTATAGCTCAGATGACTAGTAAGATTATTTCGGTTTCGGCTGCTACACACATACCCTAAGGGTCCAAGGACCCACATAGTAGGCTTTAGGGCCTAAATACTATAAAATGAATGGTATTGGGGTCCTAAATCCCTATTATTTGGGTCTTTGGACCCATACGGATATGTACTGCTCTCACAAACATTTTCGCTATTTGCCGCAAGCCTCATAGTCAAGAGATCCGGGCGCAATGCACAGCACACTCGAAGCCACCACTTGAGGAATCCCTCCCATCCTTCAAGACAATTGCTGGTGGTAATAAGGGTTAGGGACGATACAGGGGTAATATAGTAAGGTTTAGGGTTTAGGGTTGGTTAGGGACTAGATAGGGGTAATATAGTATATAGGGTTTATATTGGGGTTATATATTGGGTACTGCCCCCCTCAGTAACAGTTGGAATCCAATTCTAATATGGTTATATATAACCCTTAACTGACCCCTAATATAGAGTCTTACTGGGTGAGGGCAGTACCCAACCCAACTTAAACCCTAAAACTTTAAACCCTCAAACTCTAAACTCTAAACCCCAAATCCTAAACCCTAAACCCTAAAACCCTAGGGTCTATAACGGAATTATATAGTCTCTTAAGGCTTCACAAGTTTGGAACTTATTCGCTAAAGCCTTAACGGCAGCCTGCATGATGGTTGGAGTCCCTGACTTCAGGTTTCGAAGCTAAGGGATGCTGAAACCACAAGGCTTCCCCTTATAGGGTTGAAAGTGTTTAGGGTGTATGGATTTAGGGTTTAGGGGTTAAGGGTTTAGGGGTGTAGGGTTTAGGGATTTAGGGATTTAGGGTTTAGGGATCTAATTTACAGAGGGCCCCCAGGGATTCAAGTATACGAATAGTACCAATAATGGAGGATCTAATGGAACAGAAAATGGACACTCAATTGGAAACTGAGCTTATAAAGGGGGCTATATTGGGATCTAAGTATACACATAATTACCTACATTGGGCCTAAAGCCTGTCAACATTACCTACATCGGGCTACTTGGATGGACGGGGGGAATCAGGGGGCTCGCAAGATGGGAAAGCTAAAACCCTAAACTGCTAGGTGGGCTAGAGGTTCCGTATTGTAGGTTCCGACATGTTGGGGTTTCTTTCCTACCCCTGCCACCTTCGCTTAGCTCACCTTTGACGCCCCGGCAGGGAAGCAGAATCCTAAACCAAGGGTTTAGGGTTTACGATTTAGGGTTTGGGGTTTAGGGTTTGGGTTTCAGGGTTTAGGGTTTACGATTTAGGGTTTGGGTTTAGGGTTTAGGGTGAGCTGGTGGCGTCCAGGAGCTTCACATCCGCGTCTTCGAGGCACAGAAGCAGCATGATGAAGAGGCCAGAGCCAGGGATGTCGGATTGGCTATAAGTCCTCCTCGAGACTTAGCTTGGACCTTAGACCCTTAACCCTTTGGGATTCCCTTATACTCCTATTATAGGTAATGAAGGGTTAACCCTTAGCAGGGGTCCTAAGTGCCACGTAGAGTCTTTCAGGCCTTAAGGAACATGCTGGGGGACCATGCCTAGAGCGTCCAAGTACCCAATGATTAGATACTTGGGTTTGGGGTAATAGCAATTATAATGCAGGTTTGGGGGAAGTATATGATTATTAGGTACCTGGACTCTTAGGGATAGTAACTACATGTAGGATTCTTACTTCTTACGGGTGACAACGCGCTGGCAGCTTATGATATTAGGTCGTTGGTGTGCTCGGATGATCAAAGGTCGGCAATGAAGCATCTGGTCACTTGCTCCACTGCTCAGTTATATGCACTCGCTGACTGTTATATACATTGCATTTGTGAGATTGGCAGAGTATGCATACTATTCTTGGCCATGCTATCATGTACGAATCGATCTTCCTGTGGGGAGTGCTTGCGGCTGTAGTGCTGATCAGTTAATCATCATCAGCCATCAACTCAACATAGCCATCTCATCCGTGTCGCAGTTTGGATGCTTGGATATCCCCAAGAAGCAATCATGTGGGCATCACTCTGAGAATCAGCGGATGTTGGTATCGCTTCGGGCTCAAGCCAGGTTGGATTTGGACCTCGCAAGTCCCTTGCGTTCCCTACGCTTTGCTCCGGGAATATCATGGAGCGCTTCGATGGGAGTCCTGAAGACAAGAAAGCAGTACTTGGCCTCCTGACCGAGATGGGATACGCAGTTGAAGGTGGAGGTAGCGGGATCTCCCAATTGCAGCATGATGTAAAGGAACTTGGGCAGGAAGCCTTCATGGAATCCATTCCGAAAGATGTTGCTTTCCGGACAAGGGCAAACTTGAGCCGTTTCGTCAAGGCGTTGATGCTGGGAGAAGCAGATCCCAGCGATCCTGTTTCCACTGTGGTCCGCGCACCGCCTGCAGAGAAAGACGAGACGTTTCACATCATGCTGCACAACATCATGAAGGGGGACGAATACCGCAAGCTGACCCTCCGAGTCATTTATGCCTCAAGATTTGTGGACTATGAGTTGCAGAGCAGGCACCATGCGAAGTTGGTCCTTCCAAAGGGCTCCTCCCTTCAGCTGATGTGCCAAACGTCTGAAAAAGTCAGGTTTCATCGAGCATTCTCAGCAAAAGATCTTTCGGTTATAAAAGGCTACATGATCCTTGCTCACAGTTGGCTCAGAGACAGCTACTGGGTTGCTGTTAAGGGACTTAAATTAAGTTACCGTAATGGGTATATATAGTAAATAGTAGGGTTTCCCCAATATAGTAACTTAATTTAAGTTCCTTAACAGCAACCCAGGCTATGAGGGCTTTGCTGCTACTTTGAAACCTCCGCTTGCACCTTTACAGCCCACAGCCAGTGTCTACCACTTTTGTGGTCCAGATCCGTACCGAGGTGTGCTCAAGGTTTGGCACATGCAGGCCGGAGATGTCAAATCCGAAAAGAACCTGACAAAACTGGAACCATACCAATCCATGGCTGTGCTTCCGATGGAGCGAGCGCAACTGCACATGGAGAGCGAATATGAAAAGATGCACAACAAAGGCCATGCTATCATAACCCGCGAGGATTGTTCGGATAACAAGCAGATTCCCACAGATCAGCACGCTGGGAGGCATGTGTACATTTCCCAATTTGAGGAGCGTCTCTGGGCTGATGCTGGAGCCTTGGTAAATGAGCCTCATACGATTGATGCCCGAGCTGATCTGGCAGATGTTCAACATGAAGCTGACAAAGGTGTGCACAATGGGTTTTGCATCCGTCTGCACAATATTTCGGCCGAAGACCTGAAGTTCGGATTGAAAGTGAAGGTCAACCTGCCAGATGATCGTGTGGCACATTTTCACCTGGAAAGCCATTGCTACGGTGTGCTCCGACTTCCCGAGGGCTCATCGGTTGAGGTGAGCTACTGTCAGCATTAGCCTTCCTAAGGAACCATACGGGTGGACATAGGGGTCCTTCTTGTAGTTTGGTATAGTCCTTAATCTAGTCCTTAAAGAGGAACCCATGTCCATTAATTTTCTGGGGAAGTACTGACTGACCGTAGCTCAGGTGGAGTCCCAACCTGAGGAATTCCCGGAGTCCAAAGCTTCCATTATTCTCGACCCCAACGAGCTGGCGAAAGCCAATGGAGGCAATGTCTACTTCTGGAGCGCCTATGACCGAGAAGGTTGGAGTGAAGAGGAGACGGCGTTGTTGAATAAGTTCTGCCCCCTGATGATTTTGCTCCCCCTCTATCTCCTCGTAGTGTACATTTTGATGTGCATGGTAAATGCTCGGAAAAGGAAGCGCCCGCTTTGCCATATGATCCACAATGTGGGCCATGCTACCAGAGGAAAGGCAATCCCTGGGCCATGCATTGTGTGGCATTTCTGCCATTGCGATCGCCGCGGTGCGGAGACGCTGTTCCTGCGTCCCAAGCCACTCACAAGCAGCGATAAAGAACAGCCGGGATTTGCCATCACTTCTGCTCACAGCTGTGTTGTGCCTGCAGCTTCGCGCTTTGCGCTTACGATCTGGGACAACCCAAAGCACGACCCAGATGACATGCGGAAGTCCCTTTTGAGAGAGAAGATCGCTGACCTCGACACCCGCGAGTTCGAAAACCGACATGTTTATGTCCTTTGGTCTACAAGAAGCGCTACCCAGGAGTTCGCTCGTGGCTATGGCGGCGCCTTGCCGGGAGCTGGCCTACATCCCCAAACTGAATGGGATGCTCAGGCTGGCGCCTCTCTGGATCTTGAAGCCGGCAAGGTAGACCGTCCAAATGCCTGGGAGAAACCCTAGGGATTCAAGTGAGCTGTAGTCTAAGCTCCTGAAAGGGGATTTTATAGGGGAGTATTATAGGGGTTGTTAAAGGGGATACGAGGACTATAGACTATAGCTCAAGTATACAAATATTACCTAAAAAGGGTAAGGGGCTATGGGCATATGTTAGAGGTTATTTTAGGCCTATACTAACATTGGTCCCCAAAGTCTATAAACATTACCTACATTGGAATATTTGGATCCCCAGGGAAAGATTTCATTTGACCGAATTAGGGCCAGAAACTTGCTGGTAATCGAATACTCCCAAAGGGATGTTCAACTGGCCCCATGCATTTGTGGCTTGTACATTCTTTGCAAGAAAAAGGTCTTTCAAATTCAGCAGGGCTGTTACGCATTGCACAACTTCCCAGACCCCTTAAAGGATCCAAAACATGGAACCCCCTAATAAGCGCCTAGTTTCCCCAATGTAGTAATGGGCTCATATTGGGAGGGTTCGAGATTTCGGATCCTAAACCCTACACCCTAATCCCTAAACCCTATATATACCCCTATATAGACCCCTATATAGACCCCTATAAACACCTTTAAAGGGCTCCATTTTTTGGATCCTATAAGGGGTCTGGGTTGGCGGGCCCCGAGATGCTGTTTCAAACCTAAACCCTACTGTGAGGTTAGGGTTTAGGGTTTAGGGTTTAGGTTTCAGGGTTTAGGGTTTGGGGCTTCCACCTCAAATATCCCGTGTACGGCTTTGTGCCTAACCTCGCGGTACTCTCACGGTTGTGTTGCAGGTATAGGGATTATACGTCCCGATATAATCCCTATATAACCCTTATATAACCCCAGGGGCCATAGGACAAAAGCTTCAGGATGTTCAGTTGCCTCGGGCTTGGGGTTATGTGTTCAGCTGGTTTCTAAAGCCCCGGGATGGTTCAACCACCAGGTTACAGGGGCTGTACTTGGAACCCCAAACAGGGAACCCCCAAGAATATAGTAGGAATATCATAGGAATATACCTACCAGGGTCCTTGCCTTCTATTATATTCCTACTATATTCTTAGGATTCCCTGTTTGGGGTTCCCATTAGAGCCTTTTTACAGGTTGCCCCCAAGTGTGCGTACTTTTGAGGAGCTGATACCCCTGCATGCGCCACACAGTGATAGGCGCTAAGGAGTTAAGGGGGGGTTATCTAGGGGAGTATTGGGGTTTGGGGTTTAGGGTTTAGGATTTAGGGACCTACTAGGGGTTTAGACTTTACAGTAGCTCAGAAGGGGAGGAGCCTTTGCAGGCCTTGGTTCCTTGTTTTACTTCGCGAAGTATCTGGAGGACACCAGCATATCCAAGGGGTCCGTGTAGCTATATCGTATATACTTGGGCCCTAAAGCAGTTATATGGGAACCTTTTTTTCCAGCCCAAAATAATATAGCTACATGGGCCCTTTGGGATTGACGAAGAGCCATGGTCCTGCAGCGTTCCTGGGGTTGCTGCTTGGAGCCACCATGCAAGAAAGAGCTAGTGTTGGGCAATTCTGGAAGCGCCCCAGACTGCAGGGGGACGTGTAAATCTACAGGCTTCCTCAAAGCAGCTCACCGCATGAGTCGGAGAAGCTTCTGTCCCCCTCATTCTTGCCGAAGAACAGTCCTGTTGTTCTCCTAGGGTCACGGAGGCATAATCGGCTTCCTTATCTCCGGATTGTTGCGAGCGGTGCTAGTAGGCTTTCGAACAAATCAAAGTCCTACCTTGCTCGCCCCCGAGTCTGAACACGATCAGGAAAACCAAGAGGGTCCCTGTACCCAATAGTTAGGTACTTGGGTTTTGGGTAGTAGACATTGTAATACAGGTTTTGGGGAAGTATATGAGGCTTAGGTACTTGGACCCTCAGGGAAAGAGGCCCACAAAACAACTGCCTTCTGAGAAGCCACAGTAACCCACAACCCGAATCTCTCTTGATTTCGTATCTCCTCTCACACCCTCGGTAAACCTGCGCTGGAAGGTGTCTAGTAGTCTTCCACCCTCCCCAAACCCTAAAATCACAAAGGCTAAAACTGCCAACACCCTGACCCTGCTCCTAGGAGTCCTGATCAAAATCTTGAAGCTCCAAACCCCAAAATCCTAAACCCTAAGCCCCAAACACTAAAAGCTCGAAACAGTATATTAAACCCCGAAATCCAAGGCGGAACGGCTGCGGGATACAGAAGCCAGCCGAGGCGCGGACGGACCTCGTCAACAGTAATTCCACTTGATAGGGACCATGCAAAGTGTATGAGTTGCAGCAGCCTAACATATGCGTACATATGTGGGCGTACGTGCAGGTATATGTGCAGGGTTTCAGTAATGTGCAAGTTGGGCAGAATAACGCCAAATCGTGGGTCGGTCTTTTGGGGTAGCGGCGGAAGGAAGGAAACTTTCGAGTGGCATCTAGTTCCCCTTTGGGACTTAGCTTGGACCTTAGACCCTCAAATCTTTGGGATTCCGTTAGACTCCTATCATAGGTGCCTAAGGCTTAACCCTTAGTATGGGCCCTAAGTGCCACGTAGGTTCGGCAGCCTGTCAGAAGGTGTGGGCAGCATCCAATGTACCAGATTGGCTAGCTATGACCTTGCTCCCAGGGTTTAGGATTTAATTGGGGCTTAGGGTTTAGGGTTTAGGGTTAAGACTCAAACTTGAACCTTACCAAAATATGGATGTACATGCACATCTGTGTCAAGGACAGTCCAGAATGGCTCTTTTAACCTCTCCAGCGCTGAGTTTCAGATTTAAATCTCTTCCGTGAGGTTGTATCTCTGTTATAAGGTTACATAGGGGTCTAGTATACGGATTATTGATGGGGATACTGGGAGTTTAGGCTATGACCCATAAGGGGCAGTTCCAAAAAGGGATTCCTCTTCAAGGGTACCTATAGTAAGGATTTTGGTGTCTATGTTGTGGTCCTGGCGCCCCCGCAGTCGTACCCCCAGGAAACTGTGGCATACGTGGGCTATACCCTGTTGTAATATTTACTTTTCCATGTTCTTTTCCATTATCTTTATATTATACCCCTACATAACCCCGATGCCATCTGGCAACGAGACTTCGCCTTGCAGCTATCATGATGCCACTTCGCCTGGCGCTGAAAAACGCATCCCAGAAAGCAAGAGTTGATTGAAGTTTCTTAGAAGGACATACCTTAGCATGATTTGGGGGGATCGCTTCCTGGATGTGTTTTCAGTAGTTTGTCAATGGTCCCTGTGTGACAATCTAGCTTCCCAAGCCTATCTCTATTCTCTATTCTATACACCAAAGTATGCACACGTACTGAATGACCTGTCACACGAAATTTATTCCCAATCACACCAAGAAATGCACGGAGGACACCTTATTTCCGGATACCTTCCATATCTACTTCCCGGACTCAAAGGCCTATATCTACTTCCCACAGTTGAAAGCCTATCTTGTACAAGACCCAAATCAACTGCATGTGCTCCTCAGTCGTGCATGTGTTGTATTAAAGTAGAAATGCCATATTATAATAGAACAGAAGGAAACTTAAACATGTCTGAACTAGGGGGAACGGAATTACCGCACGAACCCCCCGAGCCAGAAGGGAAAGGCTCCGTAGATGTGCACTTGGGCGGTAGGAAAGGGGAAATAAAAAATAAGAAGCAAATATGGTTCCCCTGAGGTATAGACAGAATGTGGGGTATATAGCGATCTGATTATATACCCAAAGAAATATTCTATCTGCTTAAGGGGGACTACAATGTTTGGAGGAAATCTCAAGAATGCAGGATAGGAAGTATTGAGTTTTACAGCCCAAGCAGGAAGCACTACCCCGGGAGTGGGGGTACAGCTTTGGGGTCGTCTAGATTGTTGGCCACCCATTTGTGGAAACTGTCAGCCGAGACCCTACACCCCAAACCCTAAACATTAAACCGTAAACCCTAAACCTACCCTAGAGCATGACTCATGTACAAGACCTCTCCCAGGGATCTTTTTGGAGCCTAAGGCAGGGTAGTGCTTGGGTACTGCCCCCACCCAGTAACAGTCGGATAGTTCCATTGTAGTTATATATAAAAATGTAACATATAATCTTATGTAGCCTTGAATATGACCCCTGATTGTAGACTGTTGCTGAGTGGAGGCAGCACCCAAGGTGTATCCCGAAACCGTAGCCCTAAGGCCAACACACAACTGCCAATCTCGAACTTTTCCCAACGTTGGGCAAGGTCGAGATTTGGAGCGCTACGCATCCAAGCTCCAAAGCACCAAAGAGGAGGCACCTGTGGGGCACAGCGAGGATGTTTGGATGGGGGTTGTGTGAGGTTTAGACTTTCAAGGTCTGGTTTCGGGTTTTAAGGAAGAGACGAGGGCTGAAGGCTGAGGGGTTCTAACTTGAGAGTAGAATCTGAGGGTTGGTAACGAAGTGCCTGGTTTTTGTGGGTTTGGAAAGGGTCCTGTTTCAGAAGATTCCATGTGTTGTGTGTTTGGGCAGACGGTTTGGGGTCCGTCGTTCATCCAATAAAGCAAGATTAGGGTAGGAATGGTTCACTTCGTAAAGTAACTCCAGGTTGCTTAAACCCCAAACTTAAAACCCTACATGTTGAGGGGGTGGAGAGATTCAATACGGGGAGGTGATTGATGTAGAAGCCTGGGCACTGCTATAGCCCAGATACAAGCATAGTAAAATGTTTGGGGTTTAGGGATACCCTGAAAACCTTACCCTGAAGAGCTAAATAGCCCGATGTGGGTATTTACAGACTTGAGGGCCCAAGAGAGGTATTCTCTACACATCCGCAGACTTCAGGGCACAATGTAGGCACTATGCTTGGATCCCTATATAGCCAGCTTGATGACACCAGCTTCCATTTCATTTTCGATGTTCTTTTCCATTTGATTCTCCATTATTTGTATTATGTGTATACTTGGACCCCTAGGGCATATAACCTAAACCCTAACCCCCAAAACCCTATGGAACCCCTATATATAGTATCTTCCCTTCTTTCCCACAGACTCCTAAACCCTAAACCACAAAATTTGCATCC